ACTCTTCCACAGTTCAACTCCCATCTCCTTGACAGACTTGTCTTTGTCTTTGAGTAAATGTAAGATCTGTTCTGCAGTCGTGAATAGTGAAACCGAAGTAAGTCCTAACCCTGATTTTTGCAATACACCAAGGTATCTCCAGTAATCTTCAGGGAGAAGGGACATCAGATGATGCAAACAAAATTCATTTTGCCTCAGTCTGATTAAACATCAAGATCTATCACCCAGCCTGGAGGGAGGGTGGGGAATTTGGGGTCATTAAAATCTCACAAACCAGCGCTGGGTGTTGCAACTCCATAAAGAGTTAAAGATCCCTCCCTTAATAATTCCAGGTCCACATCCTGTATCTGGTAATTTCAAGTCCAAGAAGCTCTGAAAGCCAATTTCACTTTTGTAAATTTGATGCCAAATTTTATGTGGGGGCACATAAAAGTTGGGTGGGGCACATAAAAGTTGGGGGCAAAAGTTGACTCTGGACTTCCTTAAATATTCATTTTTCTTTGCAAAAGTAATGAAATGCTGCTTCAGATTACACTGGAGGGTTGTGTGACATTTGGTATTTGTACCACATTACCTTCCCAAAGTCCCAAATGTCCTGAATTTGGAAATTCATCAGGCCCCAGAGGTTTCAGGTCCAAGCCCACAAGGCTGCACTAGCCCTGGCTGAGCCTGTAGTGTGTGCTGGGCACCATTCTAAGCAGTTTCAAGTTAGCATCTCCTTTGCCTTCCTAATGCCCTATGTGAAGGGGACTATTCCTTTCCCCATTTCCAGCTGAGGCTCAGGGGTTGAGTAACATTGCTCATGGGATCTGAATCAGTCAACATCTGTAGCCAGATTTGAACTTCAGTTCTGTCTGCCTCCAGTGCCCTTGCTTGCTCAACCTCCCATGCTAAACAGCTGCCCCAAAGTCATGTGGCATTGCCTTTTACCTTACGTGGACGTGAATGGTGCATTGAAATTGAATAGTTCACTCAACTGATAAAGCAAAATCCCCCAAGTAGAGAGATGCTGGTCTGTACATAAAAATGAGCTCCTATACAGAAGGCTGGATTTGGCTTTTCAGCTTACTCAAGCGTTTGTGTCTCATCTCACATTTAGAAATAACTCCTTTAGAAAAATAAGATCTAGGCCAGATGCGGTGGTTCATGCTTGTAATCCCAGTGCTTTGGGAGACTGAGGTGGGAGGATCACTTGAGCCCAGGAGTCTGAGACCAGACTGGGCAGTAGAGTGAGACCCTGCCTGTAAAGAAACAAACAAACAGACAAAAACCAAAAAAGTCCCCACCCCCCGCACAAAACCTCAAAGATCCAGATTCAAATGAATGTCCAGTTTTTCCATGGTAACCATTATCATCCATGCCAAATGCAACAGGTTAGTAAATGCCATATAATAGGTAATTAGTGTTCCTGAGGCTCAGCTTGAGCATCAGTAAGACTTGGGAAGTTTGCATAGCCTGCTGGAAGTGAGAAACATGTTCTTACCCACCACTGAGGCCACCATCTGTCCTGCAGCGGTCCCAGCTCTTGTCTCAAACACTCGCTTTTTTCTTTATTTTTTTTCTCTCCCCTGGAAGAATGACCAGGGCTGAGTTCTTAGGTCTTAGAGTTAATGGGGAGAGGCCATAAGAAGAAACAGAAGGATTGTTGAGACCCCCAGCTTGGAGGCCTGGAAGAATACCAGGTAGAGAACAGAGTGCTAGGGAAAGGAGTGGAGTGAGAGTGCCGGAGAGTTCAAGAAAGAGCAAAGTGAGATCCCCAGTCTGCAAGGCAGGGATGGCCCTTGGCCCTTTTCCCTTTCCCATCAGGCTGGGAGTTGTCCAGGAGGGTCAGGGCCTACAGCAAAAGGAGCCCACAAGGCTCAGAGGCTGCACAACTCCTATCAATCTCATGGTGGGTACAGGGTCTGGAGAGAGCGTGGCTTGTGTCTGTCCTGCCACAGCTACTGCTTTTTAGAACCACATCTTAGTCCCATGAAACAGATCTGGGAGCACAGGGTCAGGAGGTAGAGTCATCATGACAGCAAACCCCTTGTCAGTGCATACTTTATGCCAGGCCCTGTTCAAAGTGCTTTAGATGTATTAACACACTTAATCCTCCGACAACCTATCATCACCTTCATTTGTAGAGGAGGAAGCAGTTAAGAGGTGACAGTGGAAACACAAGTCTCCAGAGGCAGTGCCCCATGCATGGGAGTATGAATGTGGGCTCTGTAGCCAGATTGCCTGCTCTGGCCCCAACTTGCTGTGTGACTGTGGGCAACTTTGGTCACTTCTCTGTGCCTTTTCCCCCAACTCCCAAGAGAATGGTAACAGCCCCTGCCTCTGAGGATTAAAATGAGAGGAAGCAGGTGAAGCACCAGGTCCCATGCCTGGCCCCTGGGCACAAGCCAGCACAGGCTGGAAAGGCAGCTCTTGGTGGCAATAGCATTTCCCATTTGGGGACGCAGCTTCTTGTCTCTGCTGGCAAAGGTTGCTTGCCCCCTTTATTGTGCTCCTAGCCCCAGAGAGCTTGACTGCTTGGTCTTTCTTCTCAACACTTTCTCCAACCCCACCTAGGTAATTGGTTGAGTATGATTTGCATGACCCCAATCATTGAGAATTCTCCCTCTGAGCCAGCTGATCCAGCTCTGGGACAACACAATCAGTCTACAAAAAATGTACCCAATTGAAGACAAAACAAAACAGAAAGGCTCACAATGTTAGATGGTGACACGTCTCCAGGCTGTGGATCTTGCCTGCTAGTGAAAGAGTTCCCGTGTTGATGCTGGGGCTTCACCGAGCTAGCTGCAGAAGTCCATGCAAACAGATGGCAACAGCCCTATAATAAAATCAAACCAAAGTGCTCCTGAACTGTAGACCAGGGCCCGAGCCCCAGGTAGCCTGCTGTGTCCTATGTGCTTTGCCTGTCTCCACACCGCTTCCCCGGCCACCCCCATGGGAGCTCTGCTTGCCGTATGGTCTATCAAACGACCAACTCTCTGGTGTCAAGCACTCTGCATGGTTATGCTCCAGGAAACCAGGTTGGAAAAGACACAACCTCTATACTCTAGGGGTTGCCACAGAGCTCTTGAATAAGAGGTCAGCCCCTGACAGGTGCTTCCCTTGGGCCAGGTCTCTGGCCAAGCACTTTATGATATCTCCTCCTTGATCATTCTCCAGAAGAGGGAGGCACCGTGGGAAATGGAAGTACTGAGGACAGTCACCGAAAAGCTTCCTGGAGGGGATGGTGCCTGAGCCCTAAGGAGCTGCAGGTGTTGGATAGGAGAGAAAATGTGGGAAGGGATGACCAGGCCCATGGAACGGCCCTGGAGTAAAGGCTGAGACCAGATAGCGTGGACCAAGTGCTGCAGGCACTTCTGGGTAATAGAAACAAAGTGCAAGGCAGGGCCTGATGGATGCTGAAGGGCCCAGGAGGCTGGTGGGGCCAGCTTATGGGCCTCTGGGGACATCTGAGCAAGTGTAAAACATGATCAGGTCACTGTTTTAGCAAGACGACTCATAGAGCAATGGATGGTTTATTGGGAGAGACCAGTTAAGGGTCAACTGTACGAGTTCAGATAAAGAATCAAGAGGACCTGAACTTGGGCAAGGATGAGAGGAATGGGAAGGAGGGATGGTAGATGGCGACTGAGTATTCTGTGTAGGCACACATGTGACCTGGCCCCACTGAGCCCTGCCTTCTGGTATTTACACCCTCATGCAATCTTCTCTGGCTTACATCTAATGAATAGAATACAGCAAAAGTGGTGGGATGTTACTTTCCAGACTAGATCATAGAGACTGTGACTTCTGACGTGCTGGCACTATCCCTCCTGCCTCTCCCCCCATTACCTTGCTTCACTGGCACACTCTCTCATGCTCACTCAGATGAAGCCAGCTGCCATGATGTGAGATGCTCTGTGAAGAGGCCATGTGGCAAGGAACCGAGGGAGGCCCCTGGCCAATAGCTCATGAGAAATCGAGGCCTCAGTCCAACAACCTGCAAGGAACTGCTTCCTGCCAGCAACCACGTGAGTGGGCTTGGAAGCAGATCTTTCCCCATTGAGCCTTGAGATGACTGCAGCCTTAGGAGATACTCAGTCAGAAGACTCAGTGAAACCATGCCAGGATTCCTAACACCCAGAAATCAGGATGTGGGGTAACGTATGCATAAGGTTTGAAGCTGGTGCTTGGGGTAATTTGTTATGCAGCCACAGATAACTAATACAGGCAGGGGTCACAGCAATGAAAACTGGGAACTGTGATAGACACAACCCAGGTGGAGTCAGCTGCATTTCATGATTGAAAAGCCTGGAGGAGATGATGGAGGGTCAGAAGTCAAAAGTAAATTCAAGAAGAGCACAGGCTCTGGAGTGAGACTACCTGGCTTCAAGTTCCTGCTCTGTCCCTTGCGAACTATGTGACTCTGGGCAAGTCTTTCAACTCTCTGAGCCTCAGTTTCTTCATTTGTAAAATGGAGATGATAAGAGTGACTACCTTACAAATACCTGTCTTTTTCCTTTCACGACCTGCCTGAGTGTCCAGCACAGTGACAAACGGCATGCTGAGGTTGCTCAGCAAAAGTTTGCTGTGGCATTTCTAGAAGGCTTAGTGTTCATCATTCTGCCAGCAGGGATAAGATTTAAATGCTTCAGTGCAATTTCCTTACATCTTAAGAAGGATTCACTAGTCTTTCTACATGGCCCAGTGCAGGGAAGGCATTTCTGTATTCGGACTTGTCCCACCTGGCTCCTTCCACCGGGAGCACGTTGTGGGTGCCGCTTTCCTTCCAGGGAAGTTACGTGACCTGAACAGGCACTGAAACCATAACCTTGGCCTTATTAACACTGTGCTTTTAACCACACAGGATTAGCTGACTTCAGTAGACTTTTTCAGAATCATTTCCACTCTCAGAGAGAACTGTAGCCTGCATTTACCCACCAGAGCCAGATGTTGGCAGCATGAAACACAGTTGTTATTTCCAAAACCAAAGAACACAGCCAGATATGAGATTGTTTTACCTGTCTGGGCAGAGCAGGCATGGAATCTGAGGCCACTGATCGCTGAAAACGCTGGGGTTGCTGCATCATCTGCTGCAGAAGGAATGATGAATGGTCAGGTTGCTGCTGCTGTTGCTGCTGCTGCTGCTGCAGCTGCAAGGTGGCAGTGGCTGTGGAGGAGGCAGTGGCTGAAGAGGCCTGTGTTGGTGTTGGCTGCTGCAGGTAGTGGAGCAGGGAAGGCTGCCTAGAGGTGGCAGGCATGGAGGGCATCTTCTGGGGACCCGGCTCAGAAACAAAATGGGACAAGGGCTTGGTGTTGCCAAAAGTAAATGGCTCTGTGGCTCCTGGGCTGGAGCTTGCCATCCCCTGCTGCATGATCATGCTCAGGGTTTTGGATGAGTTGCTGTTCATGGGCTTAAAGATCACATTTGCTTGCTGCTGCTGCTGCTGTTGCTGTTGCTGCTGCTGCTGCTGCTGGCTTAGAAGATTACTGGTGGGAGTGAGGCTTCGGATCAGGGAGCACTGTGGGGTGAAGGACTGCTGTGGCAAGCCTGGGCTGGAGAGCTTCTCCGGGCGATAGGGTGGGGAAGGCCCAGGGTTGCTAGCGGGCAGAGCAGACATCAGGTGTCCTTGAGGGGTTTTGATGGTAGAGGACACGAGGTTGGCAAGAAGGGAGCTCTGAGGGCCGAACTGCGGCTGTTGAGTGAGAGCAGGGCTGGGGAGCTTCTCAGGAGCATAGGGCATGGTGGGCCCCAGGGCAGCATTGCTGCTGGATGTCATGCTTGACAGTAAGGCATTGGGAGAGCCTCGGAGAGTGCTGCCCGACAAAGTATTGGACGACATGCAGGACACCATGAGGCTCTGGGGGCTGAATGGTGGGGGTGGTGGCGGCAGTGGTGGTGGTGGTGGGTGTGGTGATGGCACCAGGCGGTAAGGTGGAGAGAGTCCTGGAGGAGGCAGACCAGACCAACTGGGGGTGGGCCCTTGCTGCTTCGTAGCAGACCCCTGCTTGCTGGCTGCCAGTGCCTTCAGCTGGTGGGCGTGATGCCACTGAGGCACTGGTAAGGGGGGCAGAGCAACAGGGAGCATAGCCTGGACCTGGCTCTTGGACTGTGCCATTGAAGAACTCGGTGACACTATCTGCTTACTGGTGGAAGGAATCGAATAGCTGATCCCTGTGGAGGACGGGATCTGAAGTGACATGCCAGTAACGTGGCTGCAACTAGAAGCAAACTCCTTGCTGGAAGCCAGGCTCTCCAAGTGTGACATCTGAACCGAAGGCTTGGGAGTTGTGCTTAGGGTTGCCTGGGGATGATCTAAAACCAGTGGCTCTTCTGGCTTCGTCCCCAGTATCTTCTCAAGATCTAGCTCGTTCGGAGAAGGGTCTTGAATTTTGGTGAGCTCCTCTAGCAGCTCTTGAAGCTCCTGGTCTACAGCCGGCACGCTGTTGATTTTCTCATAGTAAGGAACAGCAGGCCCTTTCAGTCCCACTTCTGTAGTCTGTGGTACCACAAATGGTGAGCCCATGATGTTGCCATTCATAGGGTTATTCTCGAGCAGTAACGATTGGCCAGCCACTCCCATAGCCGCAGGGCTAGGATTCATTGTCAATGGAGGGACCTGCAGCTCTGCACAGGCGGTACCAGGATGGGCGCCTGGGCCCATTGCAAGGGTGACATCTTCAAGGCAAGGCCTCTTAATTTTATTAGGGTAGCCCCCATCAGCCATGTCTGGAAACTGGAAGTGGTCTTCTTCTTGTCTCCTCTTAACAGTTCCCTGTGAATGGAAGAGAAGAGAAGAGGAAAGGAGAAGGGAAGAGAGGTGAGACAGACACACACACACACACACACACACACACAGAGAGAGAGAGAGAGAGAGGAATTTTTATAAAGGCTTGGCACATTAAAGCTAATGAACAGGAAATGTGCATGATAAAACAGACCTCTCAGTTTAAAGACTTATAGTTGTGAAAACTATAAAATACAGCCTGTCTTTGGAACCATAGTGCTTATTTCTTCATTACTATGTTTCATTTAAACTGTCTAATTACATTTCAAATAAGGCATTATGTTGTCTGTATACTAAAACGGGATAGAACATTATGCAAAGGGTAATCTGCCCACTTCAAGGAGAATTCAATGAAACTATGCAGAAGTTACTAAATGAACCATGCGGCCAAAGGCAGGCATTGGAGAGAAAACTAGAAGTAGCTAAATAGTTTTAATTCTTTTTTTTTTGAGACGGAGTCTTGCTCTGTGGCCCAGGCTGGAGTGCAGTGGCCGGATCTCAGCTCACTGCAAGCTCCGCCTCCCGGGTTCACGCCATTCTCCTGCCTCAGCCTCCGGGACTACAGGCGCCCGTCACCTCGCCCGGCTAGTTTTATTGTATTTTTTAGTAGAGACGGGGTTTCACTGTGTTAGCCAGGATGGTCTCGATCTCCTGACCTCGTGATCCGCCCGTCTCGGCCTCCCAAAGTGCTGGGATTACAGGCTTGAGCCACCGCGCCCGGCCAATAGTTTTAATTCTTACCTATCTACAGACACATACATTTTAACAAAGGAATACCATAGTATAGACTTGAACTTTTAGGTTGCCTTCTTGTCTTGGTTAAATGCATCAGGCTGCAGTGGTAAAATAGAATACAACAGAGCCCTTACAGGAAAGAAGTAGATCTGGATGTGTTTTCTTGGGGAGCTGTTTAAAATACTGTTTTGGGGAAAGCACAAGTTTCAGAACAGTCATTGTAGGCATCATATTCGTTGTTCCATTTATTTTTACACACACACACACACACACACACACACACACTGCTATGTGTACACAAAAATAATTTGGAAGGACCTATACCCAAAAATTTGGAGTGGTCATTTATTTGGGATGACTGGCAATTCCCTTTCTATTCTCTTCACTTCTGCTTGTTTGTCTTTAACGAGAAGGACTCGTAATCCAAAAATTTAAAAAGGTATAAAGTTATCTAAATAAGAAATTCTCCTCTGAAGATGCATCCTCAGGTTGGGGAGATATCAAACAATGAGAAAAGGTCCCAATCTGGGATCTGAACCTCAGGGGAGCTGCCCACCCTTTATAGAAGCACAGCCTGCAAACTCACTAGCAATGTGAGACTTCCTACTCTTCATGGCTTCATACAGTTATCCATCGCGTTGTGTTAATGATCATGACCTGTATGTTAGCAGGTAACCGGGAAAGGAAGTGGGGGCAAAGGAGTATGTGCAGGAATGATCAAAATAAGGAAAGGAAGAGAGGGATCTGGAAACCACCTGAATGCCGATAAGTGAACAGGTAGAATTCTTTTAAAGCTTTTTTCCCCCCTACAAAATAACTCTTTTTCAGCTTTGGAAGTTTCACTAGGACATACAGTACTCATCCTCTGATGTCACCTTAAGTTTGGCTCTTCTGGTTTGATGAGCTTGTAGCCCACTAGGAGCTCAAGGCATGCATGGGGTCACTTGCCAGCACGATGGGGGGCATGACTGTCATGGCCAAGTGAACATCAAAGTAGATCCCCAGGGCTGTATGTCTCAGGCCTTGCTGCACATCAGAATCACTTAGAAACATCCACATTCCTGGGCCCTCCCACCACAAACTGACAGCTTCATCAAGGGTGTGGCCCAGGCATCGGGAGTTTTTCCAACAGCTCCATGACTGATTCTCAACAGAAAACCACTGGCCCAGAGCAAGGTTGGGGGCAGCGTGGCCTAGGGCTCTGATCTTGGCCTTGCCACTGAACCTCTCAGAGCCCAGTTTCTTTATGTGTAAAATGAGTGTAATTACATTTCTTTTCTCATGAAGGTGCTCTGACTATTAAGTGAAACAGGGCACATTGTATGACACCTAATAGCTCCTCACTAACTGGTACCTGGCATTTTAAAGGGCAGGTATGGAAGGGTTCTGGGAGTCCAATTCCCTTCTTAAAGACAGGGAGGTCTCTGAGACCCAGAGAGGGGCAGACCTTCCCAGAGTTGCTCAGCCAGAGGGCAACGAAGCCCAGGTCAGATGCTGGGCCCCTCCACCACCACTCAACTGCCTCCAGACCCACTGCCTTCGCCATGTTGGTGGTAGGACACTGCATCGCCCCCACAGAAGGGGCTTGACAACTTGAGTGAGAGGACTTGCACACTTCTTTGACTTTTCTTTTGAGATGCCCACAATCTGAACAAGGGCACTTCAAGGGACAGCTCTGTCACCAAACTCATCTGAGGCCTGAATACCATGGGTCAGGAAGGAATGGGTTGGAGAGGGGTAGAGCAGGTACAATAAGAGGTCTGAGGCCCAAGCAGTCATTCAGTGCCCACTTTCCCAGGAGCCTGACTGGGCACAACACCCATAGTGTCCCTGAGCTGGCCCATGGAGCAGCTCACTAACTGTTTGGCCCACAGCAGGTGCTCAGTAAATGGCAGTTGAACGAATCAATGGACAATGGAACATAAATGACCCAACACACAGGGAACTCAGCCATTTACTCAATCCATTATGGAGCAATCTACAAACAAGCCACTGTGTCCCAAACTGAAATTGTGTTTCTTCTATATCTTCCCAAAGAATCCAAAGAGATCCAATAGGTTAAAAATAGAAATGTACGAAATAGATCAATCAGGGATGATTGCGTGTGGGTTTGACATAAGGATCCCCCGCAGAGAGTCTGAGCTGGCAACAGTCAGTCCCAATGTGCTGTTCATGATGTCTCGAACTGCAAGACAGTTGTAACAATGGTGAAGCAATGCAGAGCCAGGCAGGCCAAGGAGGGGTTGGGGGTTGGGGAAAGGAGGGGAGGGCAGGGGCTGTGAGGAGCAATGGTCTGGCATCTCTGCCAGGTGAGCCTCTGAAATTTGCTGGCAGCTTCTATGGGCTCTCAGAGCTTTCACTTAATTGTTGGTCACCCTTAACCTCTGGGAGTAAGGTGCAGGGATGGAGGAGGCAGGGCATGACCACCAGACACTAAAGGTACCAGCTGGGGCCACTGGCAAAGGAAAGGAGGCTGCACCTCTCCTACATGAGAGCCTGTGTACACACACCTTTTCCAGCACCCATCAACTGCATCCCAAGCAAATGGTCCCTGATCAATTCCAATTCTAGAAACCAACTGACTACTCAATAACAAAGTAGATCCCAGCAGGCCGCCACTGCTGGAGCGGATGTCACTTTTGCTATGCCAAGTCTGTGGCTGGACAGCTGCTAGCATGTACACTCACTGAATGTTTCGTGAGGATGCCTAATAAAGGGGGCAGGCTCACCTGGCTTTTCTCAGGGATGGGGTTGAGGTTGCCGACTGAGGCTGCTGTTTTGGCAGAGTGGCAGGCTGCAAGCCTTTTCTGAGCTTTCATTTTTCAATGCACTTCAATGAGACTCCACTTTGTCAGAGGCCATGCGGCTCTATGTTTTGAATTTCATGGAATGAGCTTTCAACAGTGAGCCTGAAGTACCTGGCTGAACAGCAAGAACACCAGCCAACCCTAAACAAGGCCGAGGAGAGGCGGCTGTGTTTACACGGAAGTACTCAGCCTTGCTGTAATAGCATCTGCTTTCACCAGACATCAGTGAGGCGTGGAAATCTATTATCCAGCTAATTTTGCCCCTAGATAAAGACTTGCTTTCGTGTCTCCTCTTTCGCAGTCCCATGATCTGTTACTCATCACAACTGCGAGAAGTTGGCTGGACTTTCCCCTGTGCCCAGTGCCACGCTCGTGCCTTCACTGGGTCACCTGTGCCTGTGGCTGATGCCGCTGAGGTTTTGCCTGCCCGGACTGGGTGTTTCTGACTAAATCCGACAGCCACCATTTTAGATCAAGGGCAGGAGATAGCTCACTGCTCCGGAATGACCTCTCCTCCCAGCATCCAGGTTGGGGGCGGATGGTCCCCAACCAAGCTCCCAGCTCTTTCTAAATGAATCTCCCTGCTTCACCCATGTGCTTTTTTCCAGTCTCTGTGGTCTTGATGACAGCAGGGTATTAGTCCTAGCTATGCCACAGCTCCTACTTCCTTCAGGCCTCTCCCTGTGACTATCAGTAGACACTGGCAGGATTTCTACAGAGCATATCTCAAGCTTCTCTTCTTATAGAAAACAGTATGGGATATGATTTGTTTTCAGACAATTGGTTAAGGGATAAGGACACTGGACTCCAGATGTCCCCACTCCCAGCTAGAGCCCTCATAGGCCCTGCCTTTGGTGGCGAGGAAGGGGGAGGGAGTGAGTGACAGTGCCCCGGCATCTTTTAGAAACGAATTCCTTTCTCTCCATACATAAATGCCTGCAGAGTCCCATTTCAGAATCCAGCAGACAAAGCCACCAATGTGATCCCCATGACCTTATAAACATTCATTAAAATGCATTTCAAGGCATGTGATGGCCTCCCCACCCCCTAAATAATGAGAAAACAAAGGTTTCCCTTCTGATAGAGACAAGTTCAGCTCTGAAGTCAACATTATTTCTGATTCTGTCTGAACAATGACATACGGCAACTCTTCCCTTTCTATATTTCTAGTCCAGAATGACAAAAAAAGGGGAAAAATTTCTTAGAGAAGGTAGAGATTATAAGAATACAGTCCATGTCCATAAAATGAGCATAAACAGAGTAAAGAATATAACTTATCCAAAGAAGTCTGGCAGGCTGTTATAAATGCTTAATTTTGAACAATGTAGCTGGAGGTTTAACATGGACACCAATAAAAAGGCCAGCAAAGGGTATGCACTCTTCCTATTGGGCAGGAAGATAAGAGGTCAAAGGTAGCCAGGAAAGAGAAACTCAGGGAGCCTCATT